ACAAATATCTTTATTGTAATGTGATTTTTTATCTTCTGGATATATACCTAATAATGGAATTGTAGGATCAAAGAAAGCTACAACTTAATTCTAGCCCAAGAATATGGGGATGGGGTGGGGAAGTGAAGGGGAGAAGGGTGGCTGGGTGGTGGGAGGGTGACTGGAAATATTACCTATATGGTCTGTCTAACAAGGGTACAAATGAACTTTTCTAGAACTAGAAAATGTTTTGACACAATGACTAAGCAAATGACATGAAGTCTATGTTAACCAGCTTGATGAAAGTATTTCAAATTTTATATGAAAACACTACACTGTACCCCATGTTTGCATTAATGTATACAGCTATAATTTAATTAAAAAAAAGAAAAAAAAAGAATATCACGTGAGTACAAAAAAAAAAAAATGAAAACCAATATTCACCTTATAGGAATCTCTGAAAATGACGAAGTTGCTCCATAAAACACACAGGCCCTGTTTCATGAGATTATGAAGAACATTTAAAAAATGCCAAGAGATTCTGAAATGCAAATAGCCAAGCATGGCTCAACCTGAATAAGATAACCCCCAGACGCATCATAATTAACTTCACTAAAGTTTATATGAAGGAGAAAATTCTTAAAGCAAACATTTTAACCTAGTTGTATCCTCATCCTAACTTGAAATAAAAAAGAAAAAAATTAAAAAATTTTCATAAGATAAACTTTTGATAAAAAAGGATAGTTTCAAATTTTAACTAATAAAAATTTGACAACAGTACAATAATAAAAGACTGTCATCTTCAGGGTTCTATAAGATTATTTCTCCTAAAACATGTTTGCTAAATATATAGTCTGCTGGTCTTGGTTATATTAAAGGTAAAATATTATTTTAGATGATAGTGCTACATATATGTGAAGTAAAGAAGTTATCCTGATACATATTTAAGAAAATTTGTGGATTTCAAAAATTATTGACACAATAAAAATAAATGAAATGTATGTTGTTTCTCTATATTTTATATGTACTCTATCTTTTATATCTTCTCTATACCACCTGTAATATATTGAATCAGTTTGTACATTTTTAAAGGTATAATTTTCTCTCTTTTTAAATATTGACCTGCATTAACTCATCCATTCTTTTTTAAGTAAAATTTGATTTCCCTCTTTTGGTTTCTGTAAAAATATTTCAAATTGGCTGCTACAGAAGAATGAATCTACAATTCTATAGTTTGGTTCATTTTTGTGAAAAAAAAAAGGAAAATTCAAATAATAACCAAATCCCTGTTTTTTTAATTCAAATTACGTTTTCAAGTTTTGGGGAAGTTTGTCAGTGGAAATATGGTTTCTATGGATGGTAGCAACAAAGTAATAAAATACAGTTTTTTTTTTGTTTTTTGTTTTTTTTTTTGAGACGGAGCCTCAAGCTGTCCTCAGGGTAGAGTGCCATGGCATCACAGCTTACAGCAACCTCCAACTCCTGGGTTCAAACGAGTCTCCTGCCTCAGCCTCCCCAGTAGCTGGGACCACAGGTGCCTGCCACAATGCCCGGCTATTTTTTGGTTGCAGCCATCATTGTTGTTTGGCGGATCCAGGCTGGATTCAAACCCACCACCTTGGGTGTACATGGCTGGCTCCTTAGCCACTTGAGCCATAGGTGCCAAGCCATATAATACAGTTTTTTAGAAAGTCAATTATTAGTTTTTATTTTATTTCCAGTTAGAAAATGTGATAAATACAATAATTTTTCTTTCTTATGTTTATGAATTTCTATTGATGGTTTATAATTTTGTAAAAGTATATTTAATATTCAAAAGGAAATGAGATAGAAATTCAAATAGCATATAATTTAAAAAAAGGAAAAATTTTTTATTTGGTTGCTTGTATCGTCTTAATCAGTTTAATTTTTCACTCCAATTCATTGCTTATACAACATAGTTATACCTAGAAGCAGAAACTTTACTTCCAGTTTAAAATATTTGTCTTGTTATAGATGTTGCTTAAATATCCTCATCTTCATGAGAGTTTAGAATTTTTGTAATATAGTTATCTATGAATTAAGTAGATTCCATATGCTATTTTACACATTAATAATTATTAAATAAGGCATAATATTCAAAAGGCCTTCTAATAAAAGAAATTTAAGTTGTATTACATTATTATATGATGACAACAACATGCACTTACTATGTGTCCTGAAAAAGTCATGAAATCGTTTGAGAACTATTTCTATACACTTAATTTTACCACAAAATATCTAAATATAAGATTTTTGAAAGATAAACACACAAAATAAACCTAGCATAGAACTCACACAAAATGAATGACCAATAAGTATGAGTTGTATTATGTAATACATATATAAAATTATTTATAGATGATTATGTTATGCATTTACTATGTGTTATCAAGACTTATACATATTATATATTAAATATTATACATACAATAGTAATAGATGGTGTAGTTATAGAGCCTAACTTTAATCATTATGAATATGCATATCAAAGGAGAGAAGAGCCACAGAAGTTTGAACTGCAAGTAGAGAGAGGAAACTCCCAAATGTGTGGGTTTTATGCACATATGCATACAGTGATAAGGCAAAATTTGAGTGGATTGTGGAGAATAGTGAAAGTGTTAACCACGAAAAACAAAGTTTAAAATTGTATGTTATCAATATCATTGTGTGTTATCAATTTGTTCACTTGTATCTCAAGCCACTTAACTTGTATGAAATGAATCTCTATAAGTTATTTTTTACTATTTTTCATTATCAGCTACATATCATCACTTAATCTTTGATAAACTTAAGAAAAACATATATTGGAAAAGAATCCCTGTTTAATAAATGGTCCCGGAGGATCTGGTTAGTCACTTGTAGAAGGATGAAACTGGACCCACACCGCCCACCACTGCCAAGACTTGATTCTTGCTTGATACAATATTTAAATTAAAGACAAGAAACTATAAAAATACTAGAAAAGAGTCCAGGGAAAATGCTTGAAGATACTGGCCTGGAATAAGTGTTTGATGAGTAAGACACCCCTGGCAATAGCAACAAGACCAAAAAACAAATAACTGGGATTTGATCACGGTAAAAAGCTTCTGTAAAGATAAGGGCACTACAACTTAAGATAACCTTCAGAATAGGAGAAGATTTTTGCATGTTATTATTCTGACAAAAGTCTGATAATAAGAATCCACAAAGAACTCAAACTAATCAATAAGAAAAGAGTAAACAACCCCATTTCTTTGTGGACAAATAACTTGAACAGAAACTTCTCTGAAGATGACAAACGAATGGCCAAGAAACATTTAAAAACATATACATCATCTTTAATCATCAGGAAAATGCAAATCAAAACCACTTCGAGATATCACCCAACTTCAGTAAAATTAGCCTACATTACAAAGTCCCCAAACTGGAGATACTGGCATGAATGTGGAGAGAAGGGAACACTTCTACACTGCTGGTGGGATTGCAAAGTAATACAACCTTTATGGAAAGAAGTATGAAGACTTCTCAAAAAACTAAAAGTTGACATTCCATTTGATCCTACAATTCCATTACTAAGCATCTACTGAGAAGAATAAAAATCCTTTTACCACAAAGATATTTGCACAAAAATGTTTATTGCATCCCGATTCATGATTGCCAAGTCATGGAAGCAATCCACATGCCCATAAGCCCACAAATGGATTAACAAATTGAGGTATATAAACACCATGGAATACTACTCAGCCACAAAAGAGATGGAGACTTTATATCTTTTATGTTTACCTAGGTGGAGTTGGAACCTCTT